CACTAGAGTTCGATACTTTGAAAACAGATGGTACACATGGAATTTTTCAATGTAGTGATCTGGGCTGTAGGTTATTGCTTCATTCCCTTTGGAGAAGTACCACAACCCTAGCCAAAGGATTGTCCAGGGACCCCATGCTGTAGAGAGAGCTTTTCTGTGCTTTAGACTTTTACTTTTTTTTTTCCAGTCAAAATGGAAATCACTCATTTTCTAAAGACTAAACACAAAAATATCTCCTTCCTGCCTTCTCCCTCTGGGCCAGAGTTCTCCTATTCTCTCTCTCTCTTCTCTCTCTCTCTCTCTCTCTCTCTCTCTCTCTCTCTCTCTCTCTCTTTTTCTCTCTCTCCTTCTATCCTTATGTCTCTCTCTGCCTCTGTGTCTCTCAACATTTTTCTCTCAACTTCTCTCTCTTCCTGTATCTTCTTTTTTTGTCTCTCTATCTCTGTCTCTGTCTTTCTAGCTATCTCTCTCCGCCTCTTGATCTCTCTGTCTTTCTCTCTTAGATACAGGAGGAAGTAAAAGAGTTTTGCAATCAGGCTTCTGGCCAAAAATAATAAATTTTAATTTACACAGTTATTTCTTGAAAGGAAATAAATAGTTCCTGAAAATCAAACACCTGCCATAGCACCTAACTAGAGAAGACTGAGTAATGACATCTCAGCTACAAGAATCGTGGTGTATTGTGGTTGTTTGTCCTCCCTTCTCAAAGAGGACCAATGACGTCAGGAAGGTGATGTCTTGACTTTCAAGTGAATTAGATATAAGTGAGGCAGAGCTGTGCAAAGTCACTGGTCTCACTCTCTCTTCCACAGCCATCTGGGTCCAGTGGCAAGACATAGATCAGACTGACTGGAGATGGCCCCAGTGCAGTGGGAGACAGCCTTTTGAAGCTAAGGTCTTTCCCAGGTCTCAGTTTGTCTGAGGCAACAGCCATTCAGTAATTAAGGCTAGGTAAGAAATGAGGCCAAAAAAAAAATTGTCTCTTTTATCTGCTTTTTTTGGGTGGGGGCTCAGGGGAGAATCAATGTGGGAGTTTCTGGCCAGAACAAAATCAATTGCTATTTAACCTGACTCTGAGCCATTAAAACCTAAATAGTGACCAAGTCTTGGTCTTGGGCTCAGACTTGTTATTGGCCAATCAGTGAGAGCCAGAGTGATCTGGGTTTAAGGCATAGTAGCTTCATTTGAATCTGAATGGGCTTTATCAAAGCCTGGTTCTATGGACCACTGTTTCAAGAAACCCACATTCCCCTGGGCAGAGCACCCACATGTAAGTGCAAGATTTGGATTATGAACTCTTGTTGGAATGCTTTTTGCTTAAATACAGACATGGTAGAAGTCTGTATTTAAGCAAAAAGCATTCCAACAAGAGTAATATATGATAAGCATCATGTACTTTCTTTCCTGAAGTATCAAAGAGGATGGTAAAGGCTTTGGGAATTGGTGGAGGAAATCAGAGTTTGCTTTCTTGTTTCTGGCATCTACAAATGGTAGTGTTGTGTCCTGTTGTGTCTTGTCCAATGGCATGGAAAGCACTAGACCTAGAGTCAAAAGAAGAAGCTTGGAGTCCTGGCTCTCTTCACTTACCAACTGAATGGCTTAGAGCATTTTCCTTTCTCTGGGCTTCAGTTTGCCCAAGAGTGAAAACAAAGGAGTTGGACTAGATCCTTTCTATTCCTGCTGTGGCATCCCCATGATTCTGTGATTCAAAAGACTTGGGTTCCAATTTTACTTCTGCTGTTGCCTCTCACTAACTGTATATTCATGACATCTGTGAACCATCATTCTCCTGGACTATAATGTAGGGAAGTTGGCCTAACTGATTCCTAAGATCATGGCCTAACACCCAGGATCTATAGCTTTAATAGATAACTTTGTGGTTGCAAGTGACAGAGGATATAACAAGCCTCCATCGGTTACAATATTAGGGAGAACTTAAAATTCATCTATATAAGCAGGGAATTAATTGGTTCCCAAAAGAGTTAAAATCTTGTCTCCTAATACCTCAAGAGTCTGCTTCTCTGTTTTTCCTGCTGCATCTAACTTCAAACAATGCTAGATCTCAGATCTTCATCCATAGGGAGAAGCCAGTCTGTACCAATAGTACTGAGAAGTGTACAAGGAACTCTTGGGCACTAGAATTTTAAAAAATGCCTTGCTTTAAGCAAACTGGATAAATGAAAAGGCAAGTTTTTTTTGAAAGATAAACTATGATAAGCAGATAGATTTCAAAAAACCTGGAAAGACTTACATGAACTGTTGCTGAGTGAAGTGAGCAGAACCAGGAGAACATTTTACACAGTAACAGCCACACTGTGCAATCAATGTTAGTGAAGTTAGTGAAGTTAGCTCTTCTCAGCAATGCAAGGATCTAAGATAATGCCAAAAGACTCATGATGGAAAATGCTATCCACATCCAGAAAAAGAACTATGGAGTCTGAACGCAGATTGAAACATACTATTTTCTCTCTCTTTTTTTTTCTTTCTCATGGTTTTTCCCTTTTGTTCTGATTCTTCCTTCACAACATGACTTATGTGAAAATATGTTTAGCATGATTGTACATGTATAGCCTATATTAGATTGCATGCTGTCTTGGGGAGGGGGAAGGAGAAGGAAGGGGAAGAAATTTAGAACTCAAAATCTTATAAAAGTAGATGTCGAAAACTGAAAATAAATAAATAAAGATATTCTCTGATCAATAAAATGACTCAAAACAATTCTCAGGTACTCATGATGAAAAATGTTCTCCTTGTCCAGAGAAAAGAATTGAATACTGAGTGTATAAAAGTATATGCTTTTTCTTCAAAAGAAAGAAAGAGAAAGGAAGAAAGAAAGAAAGAAAGAAAGAAAGAAAGAAAGAAAGAAGAAAGAGAGAGAAAGAGAGAAAGAAGAAAGAAAGGAAGGAAGGAAGGAAGGAAGGAAGGAAGGAAGGAAGAAAGAAAGAAAGAAAGAAAGAAAGAAAGAAAGAAAGAAAGAAAGAAAGAAAGAAAGAAAGAAAGAAAGAAAGAAAGACAAACTAGGAGGTAATGTAATCATTTTACAAAGGATTATTAGCTAGCAAGAGGCAAAAGCAGTTAGGTGACATAGTGGATAGAATGTTGGGCCTGGAGTCAGGAAGACCTAAGTTCAAATCTGGCCTTAGTCACTTACTTGGGACAAGTCTGGACAAATTTAATCTCTGTCTACCTCAGTTTTCTCAACTGCAAAATGAAGATACTACCTACTTCTTGGAGATGTGAGGATAAATGAGATATTTGTCAGTTGTTTGACAGTGTCTGGCACAAAGTATGCTGGTGCTTATCAAATTCTCATTTTTCTCCACCTTCCTTTCCTTTCACTAGTTAAATTGCAGTCAGTAACTGAATCCAGGCCCTCTGGCTACTAAATCCTATAATCTTTCCATTAGAACCTTCACCTTCCCAATTATTCCATTGTATAGATGAGGATAGAGTAGCTTAGGTTAAGAATTTGCTCAGTCACAGGGAGGTAGGAGTCAAACTAAGGTATATCCTGACTTCAAGTATAATACTCTTTCCTCTACATTGTCATGTGGCCTCTGCTACACACAATTTTTCAGGAATAATGTCCATTGTAGACAGTGAGGTCAAAGTGAATTAGTCTGGCTTCCAGAAGAAATTGGATTTTTATTTTTATTTCACTTTTGAGCATCTGTGACTTCATTGCTATGGGTATTCTTCCTGTCAGTATAGATAACAACCCCACAGTGACATGATAGAAGGCCATCAAGAGTGGCTGTGAAGAAAAAATTCATCATCCTATAGCCCACCTCTTTGAACTTAGTAAAGTTTATCTTTGAGCAGAGAATCCATTATTGGGCCTGTAAGTGAAGCCATCCCAGCTTGGTAGGACACTACAGATATTATCCTCTGCTAGCACAGTCTCACAGAAACCAGGATAATTTCTTGCAAGGATGGAGTATTGGAGCAGAAATTTAGTGGGAAATAAACCATTAAAAAATCAGGGTCCATTTCCTCCCCTCTCCTCCCGAGAAAAAAGGTACCATGACTATAATCCTTTTGACAAAGGTTCACTCCTGGCAGAAAAGGTCTAGGTACACTTTAAGGACCTCTTAATTCTCTGGTTCATTGCCCTACCCAAATGGAATTTTATGATGTCTGGCATTTTCCAAAGGAGACACTAACTCCACTTCTAAGCCATGACAGGCTTTGGCCAAGCCCTCCAACAACCCCCACTAAGATCAAATCACTGTATATTGATCTAGAATGACATTGATCTAGGATGAGGACTTATCCCGTGGGCATAGTAAGAATTTAAGTAAGTGGATTAGGAGAATAAGGCTGAAAGGGGGTAAAGTCCAGGATGGGGGGAACAGTTGCAAAAGAGGGGAGGGGGAAAACCCCAAGTCACTTAGACCCTATTTTGACAATTGCCAGAATAACCCTCAGGCTGATAAAACATCTAGCAAATGGAGGTAAAAGCAACCTAAAAGAGGGGCTCCACTGCTTCTCTGACCAGCCATGACTCACCTGCCGAGGACCATTATTTTCAGGACCTGTTATAAGCCTCACTGTGGGGAACAGAGAGAAGCACAAGGAGTCTATCCATTGACTGCTTCTGAATTCAATTTCATATCATGTGCCTTTGATTTCTGTATCCTTTGCTTAATTTCTATATCTTTCTTGGTAAAGGTAAAAATTAGCACTGCTGTCTCTGAGAGTCTCATTCTAAGCTGAATCCGGAACCTGACCCCCTTAGGGCTAATTCACAAGCACTCCGGATTGTAAGGTTTCAAAACAGATCAGTTTATATACACAGTAAAGGACACAAGACATATCTGAGTCCACAGAAACTGGGATCCATCCTTCAGGGGGCCACCACTGCCCAAAGACCTGTGCAAACTCATAGTACTGCCCTAAGTGGTGCCTAAACATGGGAAAAGGCCAAGTCACTCTCCCTCAGGGTTCTTTGTATATATCTTGCTTTTTTGTCAACAATTGTCTCCTCTTCTTCCCTTCAGGGCTTTGTTGCTCTGTTGTATTCTCTACTTCCTGAAGGTGTCATGGAATCACAAGGTGCAAGGCAAGGGGACCACAATATCTGCACTCTAGGAGAAAGTATGCCCCACCTCCACGTCAACACCTGGGACAAAACCCCAAATGGATACAGCTCTGCTACCATGTTTTTGTTGTTGTTGTTATTTTAAATCTCAGTTTACGAGTGAAGTTTAAATCTACCACGATGAACACATATATATAGTATCTGGGTTTTGGGGGGGTTTTTTGTATTAAAAGATCCTAACTTGGATATTTTTTCCTTTTCAAAATATTTCTCCAGAAATAAGCATTTTCCCATTGATTTGGAAGTACAAATAGTGGAAGCAAGTGCCTATTATAACATTAAGAGAGTTTTGTGCACATTCTGAGTTAGAAATCCAATTATCTTTCCCCAGTCAGCCTTTGTATAAAGTCATTGTTAAATAAAGGCATGAAGCTAGTGGAACTGGAACGAAAAATTCCACTGAATTGACAGACATTTGAGAATTTGATCCTGTTCATGTATCAGCCTGTTCATAATGGTCTCCTCCCCTGTGGCTGTCAAAGATCATTTCAACTCGGGGGGTAACTTCTGATGTTCCTTTGGATCCATGGAAGTAGAGCAGGGAGGCTTGAACTTTGCTTTGGGGAGGTGGCTAACAAATGAGACAGCATGGAGGCTGCCATAGCTGTCTAACTTCAGACAACCAAGAATTCAGGCAAGGAGGCAAGAGGCCTAAGGAAAATGTCCAGGAATCTTTTTGGGGGAAGAGGGGGAAAGGACGGTCAGGAAGCCTATGGCTAAGGAGAAATAACTCAGAAAATAACCTCCTACAATGAGAACAATCACAGTAACTCTCCACCCATGTTCATGTCTCAAGTGCACATTTTTTTCAGTGTACTCCCCTCACCTGCCACAACCAACCTGTAGGGCTTACCTCAGTTAGCTCTGGGAATAGTAATCAAATCAACACTAGCATTCCCAGTTTGGGCACGGTGCGCTATTGCCCTGTGGTTCCACCCAACATCTTTGTAGTTTCTGAGACCAAAACATTCTCAATCATTTCCCTATATGTGTTATGTTGTCTTAGAACATTGGCTGGTATAATGTTTTACCTATATACACATACATACATACATACATATATATCTAAATATATATGTATATATGTGTATATATGTAATATAATATATATATATATTCTGTTATTAAAATGCAAGGTACTTGATGGAAGAAACTGACTTGCTTTCATTGATTTGTGTCACCAAGGCTTAGTGTACTGCTTGGCACGTTTGTTGTTATTCAGGTGCTTCAGATGTGTCCAACTCTTTGTGACCCCATTTGGGTTTTTCTTGGCTAAGATGCTAGAATGGTTTGCCATTTCCTTCTCCAGCTCATTTTACAGATGAGGAAACTGAGGCAAACAGGGTTAAGTGATTTGCCCAGGGTCACACAGCTAGTGAGTGTCTGAGGCCAGATTTGAACTCAGGAAGATGAGTCTTCCTGACTCCAAGCCCAGCACTCTGTGCATTATGGCACCACCCAGCTGCCCACTTGGAGCATAGTAAGCACTTAATAAATGCTTATTCTTCATTTATAGAGCACTTTAAGGTTTATAAAAGCAATTTCCTCACAATAGTCCTTGAGATGTATAGTGTATTTTCAGAAGGTTATTATTCTTCTCATTTTACAAATGAAGCAACTGCAGCCATGTCATATAGGTAATACACATTGTAGCCAGGATATAAACTTTGGTCTTCTTACTCTACAACCAGCATTTGTTCTTGCTACTTTGAACTTAGTCAAAGCACAGCTCCTACACAAAATCTCAGCAGTGGTTATAGATCAGGGAGGGACCTTCGATATTGCTGAATAAGATCCCCTCATTTCATAAGTAAAGAAATGGGTGCTCAAAGATGTTGACTGAATTTCCCAAGGTCACCCAGACCAAATAGTGACAAGGCCAGGACCAGAACCCAAACCTCCTGGCTTCTAGTTCAATGACTTTTGTGTTACTCACGTGGGTAAGCCATTAGGAACCCAGGCTTTGAAGTTGCTAATTGATTAAACGGTCCTCAACTTTGGACTCCAGTTGGCAAAGATACCAGGCCTGCAGCAGCTGAGTTTTGGATGTCTGCAGAGTAACTGAGAATGAAACCACATGCCTAAATATTTTTACTGCATTGAGTTCTGACAGCTCACATAGCCTGACCTTAATTATTAAGATTACCAAGATAATTGATTTAATGAGGAACAGAGAGCACTACAGTGCAGCCAGCCAAAAAAGCTTTACATCCTGCAGGGAAGCTAGCAGAGTCCTGCTGCTCTTTGTGGGGAAGGGAGTTCTTTAAGGAAGGGTTGGTAAAATTTCCTTAGGGAGGAAAAAAATTGATGCTGCAGCTGAATCAATGGTATGGTTTATGCACAAAATTGGTTTTAGGGAGCAGGTCCTCAGTGATGAAATTAGATCTAGCCAGGGAGTTGAGTGTTTATGGCCCTTTTTCCTCTCCCATCTTCTTTTTCAGAAATTGTTCCATCCCCAGTAGAGTTTTTCATGTTTTCACTTGACAGCAACATCTTTGGGGAGTTTGGAAAAAAAGATAGAGTGAAAGGTTCTCTCTCAGTGTGGTTTTGCAAATGTACATTAACCACTGGCTGGGTGTTCCAGTTCAGTGGTATTGGGTGATTGAAATTCTTTTCTTTCTCTGCAGCTTAAAAAAAGAAAAAGAAATCTTTCTCTTTATAGCACTGAGATATGAATAACTGAGCTGGCTAAAAAAAATTTTTTTGTTGTTCAGTCATGTCCAACTTTGTGACCCTATTTGGGATTTTCTTGGCAAAGATACTGAAGTAGTTTACCATTTCCTTCCCTAGCTCATTTTACAGATGAGAAAACTGAGACAAGCAGGATTAAGTGACTTGCCCAGAGGCACACAACTAGTAGGTGTCTGAGGCCAGATTTGAATTCAGGAAGATGTATGCCTGACTTCTAGCCCAGTACTCTATCCACTGCACTACCTAGCTACCAATAAAAAAAAAATTAGCTGTCTGTCTATTGCTGCTCCATAGGATGGAATTTATATCTCCAGTATCTGCCCTGGAGCTGGAAACATTGTCGAGATGCTGGCAAATACATTTTTGTAGGGTCATTTTGGTTATTCTCACTATTGATGAAATTAAGATAAGATTATCCATTTTGGCTCTGAACTTTTTTATCTATCAACTTAAAGATGCAAACCTTTTAACAAATGAACCTCATATCATTTTAACCTCAGAAATATATTTGTCAGTTTTCAGAAGTGCTCAAGCCAATTTGAAATCTAGAAGGTGGGAAAACCAAGAGAAAAAAGACTCACTGGAAAGAATACAAAGGACTCCAATTATTGACACAAGTAAGGGGAAATATCCACTCCTCAACTTTGGGGATCTAAAAACAAGATGACTCTAGGGATTGCCAATGGGCAATAGAGGCTTTTTATTTTAGGTCATCCCTAACCAATCCAGTCACAGTAAAGGCAGTTGAGGAGTGACTGAAAACCTTTTTCTAGCCAATGGGAAATAATTTTTTGAGTTGAATTATCTCTTTTTAATGATTCACAAGCCCATCACCCTATCCATAAACCCCCAGCACAATTGAGGGTCTGAGATTTTATTCTTTGGAAACATTTACTGGGGTCAAATTGTCTCTGTCTGCCATATAGGAGTCTTCCATTTATATCTTCAAGATTTTAGAACCCTTTCTGGCAATATGAGATTAGAATAAATCTGGGTTAGTCAAGGAATCAATAGTCTTGGGGACAGAAGAACTCCATTGTCCAATATAAAGTTTAGGTTAGTAATAAACTCAGGGGAAACATGGGATAAACTCTAAGCATCTACTTTTGCTGCCCATATAATTTTCTTTGGGAGAACAAAGAGAAGATCTTGGCTCTATTAAACTGTCATTCTGGTAACTGTCAATGTGAAGAATAATACTTTCGGAAATGTGAAATTGTGACTGTCTTATTTCAACTTTCCCCCCATTCTTTGATTCATTCAATGAATATTTATCTTGTGCCCTCAGGAATGTGAAACTGATATATCAGGTACTTAGAAGTTAACTGGTCTTATCTTAATTTTCCTTTCCATAAACATTTATATTCACAGCATCAGTATCACAATCTATAGCTGATTGATTTGGAAGTCATGTGCTCCTCTGAATTCTATTTCTACAAGCTCCTGTGATTTGATAAACAAGATCCAGAAAAGTTTCTTGCCCACAGTTTGTGGGTGTGGTGATGTGGAAAGGGAACAAGTGGGACCCTGGGGAGCACTGAAGAGAAAAAAAAAACAAATGGAAAGATAAAACCTAACTGTACATGAGCAGAGTGCATCTATCATCACCCTTCTGGAAGATTGGTTCATTAAACTCAAGTAACTACTTTTACCAGCCCTGTCCTACACTTATCAGTGCTAAAGGATAATTTATTTAATACTGTGGCCATTAGCAAAATAAAGTCTTGATGTTTGGACTCATGGTTTTGGTTCAGAGCTGTGACTAGGGTTGGATGACCAGACTTTGCCCTAGACAATGACTTAAGGGAAGGGGTACTTCAGACACTGGAAAAGACTAAGGCAGTCAAGTCTCTACCAGTAAAGGTCTGGGGAAGAGAGAAAGAAACCCTCTTTTTTTCCCCCATAACTATGCCCAAGGTTGGACATACTCTTCTGGGGCTTTCCTGACTTTTCCCCATGCCCAGGGAATGGAGAACTCAGGTAGACACCTCTCTGCCCCCTCCCACTGAATGGAATTTGCCTCAGGTGCCAGGATTCCTAGCCATGTTTTGATTAATTATAACAATTCTTATATTCTCTCAGTGTGATTTTTTTTTTCTCCTCGGCCAACCTGACTTCTGACTCTGAGCTCTGAAACCCTGTTCTGATAATCCTGGGCATGTAGCCACAAAGTATGCCATTTGATGTTGGACCCTACTGGGACATCATAAGTATTAACAAGCATATATGGAAACTCAGTTTCCATTTGCCTGTGATGCTGTGTTACAATGCCTCTGCCCAAAAGAGTAGCTCACTGACATCATCTTTGGTCTTTTAAAAGTTTGCCATCAAAATTTAATT